AGCAGCATGTTCCCAATAGGCTCAGACTGTACAGTGCACTGTATAGCACCTCCTTTCCCACAGCAAGCAAAGCAGAGGGAGAGCGAGCTACTTCAAGAAGATGAAAAGTAAATGAGAACAATGAACACACAGTACAAAGCAAGTCTGTTGCTAAGGATTTATCCTTCACCTCCTACCACCAAATGCTGCAAGTGTTTGGAGTGCATGTTTTTTTTGTACAACATGATGGTGCATCTTGCAGTCCTCTCACTCTGGGTGAACACATGACTTCAGTATAATTGCTAAATATTGACATCTGTAACTATCTTTGCTGTTTTATTCATTCTAGGTTCGCATACAACTGTTAATTGTAGGTTATTTTGATGTTCATTTCCACACCATATTTGCCTAAATGTGCTGCTTTTCTCTCCAGACACTGTCAAAACTGTCTGTATGCCGCACTATACACATGCTTTGTTTTGTCTCTTGCCCCCTTCAGGTTTCTGTCCTCCTTGCATCCATCTGAATAGTGGGCTCTTAGCTGCAGAGGTGGGACGTGGATTAAGTAGGACGGGGGTGGTTGGTGTGATCTGTCGGGTTGTTGGAGGGGGGGTCGTGTGTGTGTTTGTGAGTGGAAGTGATACAGGGAGAAAGAGATCATATATCCTCAAGGAATCAATGTAATCTGGGTGAGGTAGTGTTTGTCTTTGTTCATACATTCAGTAGTTTCTCTGTTGAGTCTGTTGCATTATGCAGAAGAAGACTCAGTAGGTGCATGATCCTGATATGTTTTGGGTTTAAGAGTCTAGAAAACAACATTCTCTCACCTTTTGGGATATTACCCAACTGAAGACGGACTGATATAACACCGATTTAGCCAAAATGGAATAAAAGCTGGGACAGATTTGTGCCTTTACTGCCCTTTTCATTGCTAGTTTTGCCCTCTGCTGCCTAATCCGCCACAGAGCGTCGCCTTCTCTGCTCCGTCTGGGTTTGGTTACAGCGTCTGCAGATATTACAGCTGCTAACTACTCTGTTTATTTCTGTAAGGTCTCCTACACACTTTGCTTCAAATGGCTTCTTATAGCTATCTAACACCCTCTAGTGGGACCTGAAGGAAATAACTCAAGACAGCTGCATTTTCCTCAGATTAAAGGGATGGTTGGAAGTTTTTGACAAAAAGTGCAATGAGCTACTCACTGATGGTGATGTGGTGTATAGATGAACATTAACTTCCAGTTTGTTAATTGTAACGAGCCCATGGATTAAAAAAAAAAAACAAAAAAAAACAGCAGCAGCAAATTGACATTTAAAGTCCTTAACAGCTTCATAGACAAAATCCAACATTTATTTTTTAAAGATGGAACATTTGTTGATTTTGAGCTAATGGAACTCTAAATGCTCCACGTTTCTGTGTATTATGTTATCAAGAAGCAGGATACATCATGAAATGAAGCCTTCATGAGTATCTTCCTCATTCAGACTTTATTTTTCAAACATGCTATCTGAACATGTCTAGCCAAGAAAAGGTCCCTTGAAGAAACCCACTAAGGTTCATTCCTTTGTGGTGTATTATGATGGCAGTGGTTCAGAGCTGGATTTAAAGCTTACAGGCCCTACAATTCTGAACACAAGATATTTTCAAAAATCTTATAAGTATTAATTTTTTGTTGTTTTTTTTTTTTTTCATGACCTAACATAGAATGCACAGATTTCCAGCTGTTCTTTTCTGGTTTTTAGGACCCAACAGACAATGAGCTTGTTCATGTCCACGTCTGCTTTGTGGAGAAATGTTTTATCTGCTAGTGCTAGTTTTCTGTTTAGCTTTCAAGGAGAGGACCTCATTAGATTTTATTAACATTCATTTACTAATCGAATTAAGCTGCCTTTAAGTCGACTTCCATTACTTTACATTGACTGTTCACCCTCTTGTTGGTTTCAGAGACAAATTCGTGGCTCACGGCCATCTCCCAGTCCTCCAAATGACTGCTAGAAGGTGCTGGGTTCGAATCTCGGCCTAGGATCTTTCTGTGTGGAGATTGCATACTCTCCCAGAGCCTGCACGGGTTCGATCCGGGTTCTCTGGCTTCCTCCTACAGTCCAGAGACATGCTGAGGTTAAATGGTGGTTCTAAATTGTCCATAGATGTAAATATAAGTGTGCTTGGTTGTTTGTTTCTCTATGTGGGCCTGTGATAGCCTTACTATCTGTCTGCCTTTGCCCAAAGTCCATTGGGATAGACTCTAGTGTATCGATGATGGATGGATGGATTCAACTGGTTAACAATTTGATGTAAATATGTGATTTATTTTCTGTGATACAGGAAAATCTTGACCAAAAATGAGGTTGTTTTTACAGTTCTGATCGCATCAGTGAGTCCACTAACAGTTGACCAGCGACCTAATGACATCTGAAAATGTAACCTAAAGTGTAGCCTAATAAATAGATTAAAAAAAAAACAAAAACAAAAAACAGAAATTAGTGAATTTCCCTGGTCTAGTCTTGCTAAAGTTATTTTTTTGTTTTTTTTTTAAAGAATCTGATTGAAATGTGACATTTTAAACATTTTTTTTTAATGGAGAAGGATATTTCTGTTTGTAAGCAAAACCAAACACAAACCTTGTTTGTAAGAAGCAGTGGCACATTAGGTCCTTTTCTTTATACTGAGGGGAGCAATATTGTCTTGTCCACTGTTCTAACAAGAGTATTCCTTAAATACAATTTTCAGGAACATTAAGAATGAGCTACAAGTGGTAACTTTATGGATTCTGCAACGGAAAACAGCTTTTAAAACATGATTCACTGATAGACTTTTACTAGTAAACAGGGTTTCTTCTTTTTCTTTACCAATAAAAATCTTTGGATTTTGGGATGTTGCTGCACAAAACAAGACATTTAAAGATATGAGCATGGAGTTTAAAGGAATGTGATGGACATTTTTACTGTTGTCTGTCATTTTGTGATGATTAATGCCACGTTGTAAATATTCTATCCTAATGGTGGCAGCGCTGTGTTGCTTCTCTGAGCTAACGGGTGTTTTCCTTGTCGATTTATCTGCTACTCAAATCCATTTGATTCAAGAACCATTAACTTACACAGAGACTAGCAGTAATACAGCATTGTGCAAAAGCTTGAAAAACTATGATGTGGATAGAAATGAAATGAAAAAAAATACTTTATTTATCCCAGAAGGGAAATTCAATTCAAAAATAGCATATTTACAGCTACCATGTTGTGTCTTTTTAAGCTGTTTGTACAGTTTGAGTAAAATTTGTGCATTTTAAAAAATCTTTTAGCAAAAAAATAAAAACTTTTTTTTTTAAATGCAGACCTAAACCAGCCACATAATTGCAAGGAAACCACTGACAGGCCTGGTACACCTACATCTCTCTATAGGTTGTTGTGTACATTTGATTTATTGGATTTGATCCATCTGTGCAGACAATTAAAAAACAATGTATTCATACTCCATCCATCCATGTATTTATGACTTTTTTTAAAAATTCGATTTTGTGTATGACTTTGTGACACTGTCGTTGATTAGCTGTCTGCCATAAATATTAGTATTCTCTGTGTTTTTCAATATGACAGGATACTTCCTGATGAGACCCTGTAGGCGTCACTGTTACACATGTTTTGTGGCACTGCAGTAGATGGACTGGTGCTTGTATAAGTGTCACCATTAAAAGGGCAGAGACACAACAATTTGGCAAAAGTGTCTTGTGCACTTCAGAGATATAAATAAAACTAGCTCTTTTCGTTTGCTTGCTGTTGTATTTTTTTACATCTGTCCACACAGTTTTGAATTGATTCTCAGACTGAGAACGTGGCCTGTGTAAGAAGGTTCATTAGGAGGGAACATAGGCTTAGTTAATGAGGATGGATGTTTTAATGTTGCTTCCATTAACGTGATTTGTATAAAATGCAGCATATAAGGAAATTGATAATATCGCCATTATAGGAAAACAGTTCTGGGCTTTGAAGGGTTTTTGCAGTACAATGCTTGATACTGCAGCAGAGTTAGAGTCTGTGGCTGAGAGGACAAAAGCTTTGGACATCTGTCACATGCCAGCGCATGCTCTCCGCCTTCCAGACAACAAAGCTCTCTTGAGCTTCTCTTCATAGCACAAATGGTCATGTGGTTTCTTACAACTTGGGATAAGAAGATTAATTTAGTTCACTCGCAACACATATCTGGTAATGCCTAATTTTACAGATGCCCTATTTTTTCATAATTTTTTAAAGTTCACAGAAGGAGCAATGCAATGTGGTCCAAAATGCTTAAGTGGGAATGTTAGAATGTTCTGCAATTAGAATAAGCTCACATAGTTAGGTTTCAAAGCTATTTTCCTTTCCTTAAAAGAACTGATTAAACCCCTTTTAAAAGTCATCATTTTGTTGTAGAAAACTACTTTTATGACATTTCGCCTTTATTTGGTCGGACAGTGTAGAGAGACTGGAACAGAGAGCAGGGGAGTGACATGCAGCTAATGGTCTGACTGGGGATTCTCTGCTCAGACGTCTGTGCCTCAAACTTGGCTATCGGGTCACACCGTAAAACTTTATTCTTTTTATATGTTGTATTTTAAACCTGCTAAGAAATAAACTGCACATCTGACTTGCAGTCCAATTTAAAGACTCTGGGTTAATTAACTCAAATCATTCAATCAGATTTTGCTTTTTCAAATATTTGGTTTCTTTCTGGGATGCTTCCTAGGAAATTCCTAGAAAATGAGCATGAATATACACCAGTGAAATAAAAAAATTGCCAAGATTTGAAGTTTCCCGTCAAACATCCGATCTTAAGATATTTCACTGGTTGAGTGGAACGGAATAAATATACACAATAGAGCCACTTTTCCACTAATATTTCCATTAAAAGGAAATTTAGGATGTGGAAACAGTTTTGTCACATTGATATTGCCATATCAGGAGACGCAAAGGAGACAGAAGAGAGTAGAGAGGAGTAATATGTCACTGTCAGGCTGCAACACGACACTGGATCTGATCAGTGTTGTTATAGTTTTAGTTTTTTTTATTTGTCTTGTGATTCAAACCTTGACCTGCTCAGGCCTCAGTTATCGGGCCGCCCCTGGTCAGTGTATTTGTTAGGAGAAAAATGTTGCAACAAATGTTAGGTTCGTGTCATACTTTAGTTAAAGATAACAACACTCAAACATTTTTTTCATTTCCACAGACAAAAAGACAAAGCAGAGGATTTTTTTTTCTTTTTCTGTACGATATCTTCATTTCCATGACACAACAGTCTTTAGTGAGGTAGACTACAACAGGTCAAGAATTAGAAACATTGCTCCTTAAACTGGCATGTGAATGACATGAAATAAATACTTCCATGTACAATGTCTTCAAAATGAGGTAGAAATGGTTACAGAGAATGTACAAGATACAACAAAAGTACAACTGAATTACAAAGATAACACTGAAGTCCAATTTTGTTCATCTGACAAATTTGACTCCACTTCCTTCACTGGATCAGAGTAACCAAGAAACCAGGAAACAGCAAATACTTCCTGCAGTGTGTAGGTTCATGTCGAGCACATTCTTTGTGTGGCATTGAAGAGCATTCATTTGTTGTAGCTAAGCGCTTAAATACTTTTAAAATCTGGGGGTAAGAATACATTATTGTTTAACACCTTCTTTTTTTCTTTTTGTTTTTTTAATAATCTGTATTTTATTTTGAAGCTTCGTCTGCTCCGGGTCTATTTTTCAATACTGAAACCATATTCTATGTAAGATATGTGTACTTTTTCAAAAGAGGCAAGAAAATATTTTTTCATCGCGCTGAATCTCTGAAGTCTTACTATTTAAAGGGGATCCATTCTCTGGACATGCTTTAAGTTTGGAGTTGGGTTTTGTCAGATCCTCCAAAGCATTAAAAAAAAAAAAAGGTATGGCACAATTTACGAAGGGATGGCATAGTGGAGCAGCAAAACTAAAATATAACCAAAAAAACAGGTTTCGAATTGCAGCTGTACATATTTTCTGACAGTGCACACTCTGATAATAATAAACCTGTCCCTTCTGCATGATGTCAATTCATGTTAGAGCTAATTTAAGCTGATTGACTGGTGACACGGTGTCAAGTGGTTTTAAAATACTGACATGGGAAATGGGAATTGGATCCTTTATTAAGACATTTAATAAGCCTTCCTATTTTCCTATTATAGAGCTCATACTGCAGTGTGTGTATGTCTTGATATGCCAACACGTGTTTATCAGGAGTGCTTTGTTTTGTCCGCAAAACTGTTTCCCCACTGCTAACTACACTAACACTTAACATGTCATTCATTTCTCCACCAAAACCTATAAGACAATTACATCTATACATGAAGAAAATATGTTTCATATATCTAAAAACATCATCGATGTACATTATGGCATGTATTGTCCTTTTTAAAAAAAATATCTGAATTACATTCAACATTTCAGGCCTTGGTACAAAAACCTCAAGTTTCCCAGAGCTAAAGAAGCTGTGTGGATAGTGTTTGCGTGTGTGTGTGCATGCATGTGTGTGCGCGAGAGTTTCATACTATTGAAGGCCTTGTAAGTTCATTGTTTCCCTGAAGTGTTAGCCATGGCTCCGTTTTCATTTGGCTCCATAAAGCTCCCTACAAACACCCTAAGGTAATAACATACATTCTTATTTTTTTATCAATCTGAGGTAACAATATTCTTCCTGAGTATTCGATAGCACGACTATAAATCATCCTTCTGAGAGGCAAAAGTAAAGAGAATGCATTTTAAAAGTAAAAGTAAAATCCTAGCAGACAGGCTGGCAAATCTTCATAAAGAATGTAATGTTGAGCAAAAAATTTCTTAGAGGCACTCAGAAGCATATAACCTCCAACCTGCAGACCTCTCAGCCTTCATGAACCTTTAAACTGCTCTGAGTGAATTTTGTTTTTGAAGTTTGGTTGTGTGGATTTTGGTTGTATTTCATTTTTGTCATTTTTAAAATATTATTCACAAGGCATACGCTTGGCCAGGTGTTATTTTACTCACATACTTTTGAGAAATGGTTAATATATTTATTATTTAGCAGAAGCACGCATGTCAACTACATGCTCTGAAGATGATCTGCATTTACTATTACACGGACTTTTTGTTAATGCTAAATATTGTATTTTAAAATGAATAGAGAATCTCAGATTATTTCCCGACTCTCTCTTTTTACATCAAAATGCAACGAATTCAAATTAAAGGGCAGCTTCGTGTACACTACCACATAATCATTTGAGCAGCTTGATATGCATAAAGTGGGGCAAAAACAAACAAACAAAGAGCTGAGCAGAGGAGGCACGACTCCAGGATAGAAATTAGATAAAGGATGAGACAAAAGGGGGGGCTATGAAAACTGAAAAAAGTCAAGAATAAGTAAAAAGGAAACATTCATTTCTCAAGGCCGAGCGACGCACCGGGCCCTGCAGTCAGCTGTGTAGCAGTGATTGTGCTGAAGTCGTATGGCAATCTCACCATTTCAGTTATTGCTCTCTTTACTTTTTGGTCAGTAATGATTTTTTTGTGGTGTGATAGAACATATTGCAGTCAAAGGCCCTTTACATACATATTGGCCACAAATAATTACACCAACTTCTCAAACAGCAACGCTGCAGTGCTGCTGCCACAGTAGCAGAAAGGAAATAAATAGGATCCTGAGAGAAACAGACACTCATACATTTAGACTGTCTTAATGCTATCTATGTAGAGAATGCCTCAACCTCACTCCTAAGACTTACCTCAACCTTGAGAGGGCAAAATGCCTCTGTGAATCTTTGGAAAATCATGAGAAATGAAAATGTTAAGCATGCACAAGAAGTACCAGTCTTGTGCCCTCTTGTGTTTGCTCGGGAAATTAAACTTTTCACTGACAGATCCAATGCAATTCCCCCAAGTCTGTCTGGGTTAGAAACCCTGGTTGGTTTTAAGCAGCGAGGGGAATCCTCTCAAATGCCGACTGGGCTTTCAGCGCCCTCCAGTGGGGTCCTCAGATCGAGTGTGAGATGAAGGTATCTTCATAGACATTCTCTGCTGCTGAGGAAAGTTGTGCTCCCCTGATACACTCTCTCCTGCAAGGCCTGATGGTGGACTGTAGTCCCCTGCCCCGCCATAAGGGGGTGATATCAGAGGCTTTCCAGGTTTGTAGGCCTGTGGGTCTGAAGCCGAGCCGCTCATATCGTAGCCGTTGCCGTGACCTTTGCTGTGACTGTTTCCGTGACCGTTGCCGTACTTTCTGTAGCGTGATCCCTCCACCTCTGCCCCCTCCTGTCCTTCCTCCGTCATCTCAAAGGCCTTGCGTTTCAGTGGCACCCCTGCCTCAGAGCTCCCTCCGAGGCTATGGGATGGGTAGCTGTAACTGCCCGCCACCATGGTAGGCCTAGGGGCCAGAGGAGTTGGAGCACTAATCGCCGAAGGCAGGTAGGAGGCACTGGGGTGGCTGTATCCAGAGGACAGGCTGGTTTGGGGGTAGCACCCTGGTGGGTAGTTGTAAACAGGAGTGCTGGCGCTGTAGCTGGGCACTAGAGTAGGTGCGGCCTGCAGCGAGTGTAGAGGGGCAGGTGGAAGTGCTGCGCTAGGCTGAGGGCAGTATCCTGAGGACAGATAGGTGCTGTTGTAGGCAGGAGGGTATTCCTGAGATGACGGGGCGTTGCAGGAGCCAGCACCGCTGTAGCCAGGCTCTGAGGCCAAGTTACTGCTCACTACTGTTACGCTCCCTGTGGCTGGGATCCCCACAGAGGCAGAGCCCACTTTGGTGCCAGTTAGTGCCTCCAGTCCAGGGTAACACTCCATGGCCTGGCCCAGGGCCCAGGGCTCAGATTCTGTTTTCAGGAAAGTTCCAGGCTCTGCGTAGGCCCCGGTACCTGGGCGTTCATAGGACAACTCCAGGCCTGAGTACTTCTCAGCGTAGCGTTTGAGCAGAGAAGAAGCAGTGAGGGCTGATATGTCATCACTGGCCCAAGGATAACCTGCAGGGGCATAGCTGCGGCGAGCGGTTGAGGTGTAGGGGTCGTGCTTGTGGGCAGAAGGGGGCGAGGTGGTAGAGGTGACATCTAGGTGCTGCTCAGGCCACTGAGTTAAAGGGGCGGCGTGCTCCGGAGACCAGTGCATCTTCAACAGACCTGACAGAAATAAGAGCAAAGTAGTTAATTTACACATTTGCAAAATTATAAATTATCCAGATCAGATGACAGTCCTGCAACCAACTCGAGGTACTTTGCTCTCTCTGGTTCCCAAAACTCCCTTGAAAGCTAAATCTGAATATGTGCCCATGTAATCACTTTGGAAAACTGACCCTTTACCAGAATCTTGTTGATGTTTAGCCCATGCTCTTCTACATCTCATCCAAGCAGGGGACAACTGTTCTAATCTTTATGAGAAGCCGCCAACATAGCCTCCAGCCTGGTCTCCACGGCGATAAGCCTCTATCAGCCTGCGCGCTGCCCTCTGCCTTTGCCTCTCTCACATTGGGGCCATTGTTGTCTCTCTGTGAGTCTCTTAGTCCACAAAGCCACCCCCACCAAGCGTGTGATCTAATTCGGCCCAAACCTCAGGGGTCTGCTGGACAGAGGGAATGGAGGGCGGGATCACAGGGGGAAATTGATCAGAGTAGTTTTTCTCCATATTACACTGAGACCAGACCGGTGCATCTATGAACACTATTACAAGTGTAGTGATTGATTGAGCAGTCTAAAGATGATTGTGATCTGATTGTCATATGGCATGTGTGATTACACATGCACATTTACACAAACAGAGTAATCCACTGGTTTAGTGGTTGAGGGCTTGGCTTTTTGAACTGGCATTAGGCTGACATTCCAGGCATTGCAGAGTATTATTAAACTGTCCTGACCCCAGGCTTGGGCCAGAGGGGCTTCCCTACAACAGCACTGGAAAGAGGAGGATGCTACTGCCAAGATTTCATCAGTTTGGTACATGAAATAATTGCTGTCAGTATATTACATTATTGTGGTGTTTTCTTGCAATAAATCTTCACATAAAAAAATCCTTCCTGTATTACAGATATTTTAACTCTAGTATAACGCTGGTTTATAGATGGGAATCTACAGGGAAAAAAATTAAGGATCTGATGATAATTACAATGAGGTGTTTAGTAATGCATTCTTTTCTAATAAATACTGCTTCTCTCATTGGTTTGTCACATAATCTATAATAGAGCATTGTCCTGCAACAATGAGCAACATGTTGTGATTGTTTTGTGAGTTAAAATCAAGGGTGCAGCTTGCAAATATTTTCATCATGGATTTTTTCAGAGGGAGTTTTTTCAGTAAAATGAGTGGAAAAGGCTCAGTAAAGCTTCCAAACTCCAACAAACAGTCACAAATATATTCAAATTATATTGATATAAACCAAAGAAAACTGCAAATCCTCATATCAGAGGCAATGGAACCAGAGTGTGTGCTTAAAAATAATCAATTATCATGATAATTGCTCCAAAATTTTTCTGTCAGTGGACTAATTATTTCTGTTCTATTCCACACCCGGGCAGGAAAAGTAGTGATAGGAGCTGGCATATATTGATTATCACACATGCACACACTTGCTCACTCCCACGTCCGGTCTAAAACTGCCTATATGTGGATTACACCAGGTTGTGTCATATGTCCACCAGGACCACCAGATGGGCCTCTAAACGGTTCACATGTTGATCCCTAAATTAAATGATCCTTCAGCCCAATAGTCCCACTCATCCAATCCAGGGATCACGGCGCTCTCGACCAGCACAAGCTCCACCCCATCTCTTGAGAAATCCATTTGCTCCTGGGAATTCTGACTGGTTATGGTACCCGTCCTCAGCACTAAAACTTTAAAGGCCTATATTCCCACCATTGCACACTGACCCCAGTGATTGAGACCTACCAGGCAATCTCTGTGGTGAAAAATATGTGCCATCTTGATTTACACTAAGGTTAGAATAAAAGTTGTTATTTAACCCCGTCAGCACGGTGTTGATTCATAGTATTTAATAGTAAGTCTACAGATCATGGGCGGATTACCAAATGGGCCTACTGGGCACAGCCCCAGGGGCCCAAGGGGTTAAGGGGCCCCTAAGCCACGGTGCCTGCTGCACAGCGACTGTTATTACATTTCTCAATAAAGAGCTAAAAGACTCAGTCATTCATGTTAATATCAGAGCCCCCCAAATCCCTCTGAAGAACCCTGAAGAACCTGAAGAAATAACGTGAACAACGTGAAGGCAGCATCGTGGCATCTTCCCATGTGTGTTTATTACCATCACGGGTCATTTAGGATTATTGTGCACTATTGACACCAACATGGGGCTTCAAGTCTGCAAGAAAAATTAGTCTGCATTGTAAACTGGGATAGAGATGCCAACAGCGCTGCTGAGACACAGGTGGATGTACAGGCTTCAGCTCAGGCATCTTTGAGTTCAGAACAAAATACCATATGAGGGTTGATTATGTAAACCTTACAGGGGAAGATGACCCAGCAGGTCACTGGAGAAACAGAAGTAATGAAATTTAAAGAGTAGTTGTCTTGTGCCCTCTTGTGTCCGCTGATAAAAAGAAACTTTTCATTGACAAGTTCAATGTTATTCCCCCCTCAAGTCTGTCTGGATTAGAGACTCTCAAATGCCCTTAAATCCAATCAGCGCTCTCAAGTGATATCTTCAAACCATGTGTGTCTGTGATGTACAATCTACACAGACATACTTTGCTGAAGAGAAAAGTTGTCCACCTCAGTACTCGCTCTCCAGGTCTGATTGTTTTAATGATGCTCTATTCTGTGCTACAGATGAAGAAAACACAGTAATCTTGGGTAACTGGTTCCTGTAGAAACTCTCACAGGTGCAGTGGTAGTCAGTGACCATTAGCACTTTTTTTTTTTTGGCAAATTGACTATCTTGGAATGACTGAACTATACCTGTGTGCCAAAGCCACACAACAGCCACATTTTGAACTACATAGGCTACTTGTGCCTACTGTGTTGGCAGTTGAACCAACACAAAGCAAAAAGTCCTGCTTAAAAGGAACTGCTTGTATTTTTTCCAAGATGTTTCTGGATCTGTTCCACCAGCATCCACAGTTGTTTGTTTTTTTAATTTTTCTAGGTGTGTGCAGCTTCTCTGTTTCCTTTGTGCATTGCACTGTGAATGAACAGTATCCATGGACAGCACATTCAAAAATCATATTTGCTATGCATTCTGTCTGGTTTGAATATACTTCATTTTGTCAATTTTTTGTGTGGACAGACTGCATAGTAAGTACCTCCTTAGAATTAGTACGTCGTATGAATTTTGACAGCAGGATGTCAGGAGACGATATACAACCTGGGCCGAGCGCTGCACCAGATGGGCCTCTCACATTTAGCCATCCATTACTACCAAAAGGCACTGAGACTATCTGCACAGAAACTGGAGGGTATCGCAGACGATCAGGTCGATCTGAGCAGGGAGATCGCCTTCAACCTGTCCCTCATCTACCAGGCCAACATGGAGATGGCCCGACAGCTCATCAACACACACTGCATTGTGATTTCACACAAGTCTTATCACACGTTCCTCTTCTTCACCAGCGTTTCTGATGTTTGAGCTTTGAGGCTCCGGTTCAGTTCTGGCAACTAAATCACCAGAAACAGAGGACTCAGAAGGTCTTATGCAGAAATGAACATTTACGTTGGTAAATGATGAAATATTACTGAAGTAAATAAATACACAGCTGTAGAAAATACAAAATCAAACACCAGAACAAACACCTGTATGTTGGTTACTAATAAAGCTGTAAAGTAATAAAGCTGAACTGAATTTAAATCAATTTTCTGATATAATCAGAATCAGAATTAGAAATACTTATTGATCCCCTGAAGGGAAATTGCTAAGAGACCGCAACAGGCTGCATGCGTGGTGCCGCATGTGTGCTACGTTTAATGAAAAAAAAACATCTAATATCAGAGAGAAAGAAAATTTTAACTTGACTCATGAATATTTAGATAGTGAGCAAACTTTACTCAGCTCCAGAATTTAACTGGGAAACATAAACAAACTGTACCTTCACTGTACCATCATCAGTTGTAGACTGCAGAGATGCACAGTTTACACTTTAAACTCTACCAATTAAGCTTTTGCTATTCTGACTACATGCTGACCGTCATGTTCTCTGCCATGTCAGCCTATTCGAGAGAATCAAAGTTAAGTCCAAGACGTAAATTAGATAATCACAGGTTTTAAAATCTTGAAATCTTGGAATGACTAAACAGGATGAAACTGACCTGAATGTAAATTATCCTTTGACATCTTTAAATTTATTATTAAAGCTTGTTTAAAATCTTTTTTTCAGTGTGCAGCTCTACCAGTATTAAATGTGTTTAGTTAATAGCAACAAACATACTTTATCTTTACAAATGAGACTACTCTGCAGTCATGTGACTGGTCGCCATGGCAAAACTGGAGGATATACGCATGTACTGACAATGTGAGATTTTTGTTTCAAAATGCAGTGACCTTGTGACAGTATTTGCATATGCATTTAAACCTGGGCATCACAGACACACACAGACACACAATTAGGATCATCAGACTGATACTCACTGGTCATGCTGATAGCAAGCATGAGCCAATCACTTCCTGGTTCTGCCTTCAATCTAGTCCTCTCACTCCGTCTTCACCAGATGGTCCATAATTTTGCCAAGACATATTTCAGAGCAGCAATCTACTGTGTCTGGAATCCTCATTAAAATTCAGCAAAGGAATGTGAAAACTGAACAAATGGAGGGATCACTCTTAGATCAGGGGATGGAAGAGTGAACTGGAGGGTCTGGATGGGTCAAGGACCAGACTGAGGAAAGAAACCAGACTAATGATGGATTAGAGCACATAAGGCTTATGGGAGTGTCAGAGCCTGGTGACAATCTGACAGTAAGCGACAAGAATTAAAGAAGCATCACTTGTAAACTTAAGCTAGGATTATACTCCCTTGCGGACGTGCACATGGACAGCTGTGGACACTGTGAGCATGTAGCTGTTCTAATTATACTACTCCCAAGTGTGCTTGCAGTCTGCTTGGCATGTGCAGTAGATTGATCTACGTATGCTCGATGTCGAGCATGCGCACCACTGCCGTTTAGTGTCGTGGCCGCACAG